TACTTTTTCATAATCAATTATTATTTATTATTACATGTATAACTAACTTCTTCATTTTTCATCCAATCACTTATGGCATGTGTGCAACCAGGAGAATGTCCTAGGATGTTGGGATTTCATGTCCCTGATGCTCACGTCCTACGTTCCAGGCCAAGCAAAGCTGGATATAGATGGGTGAGCAAACACCATTTGTGCATTTTTGTTACAATCGGATCCTCGACGCACTTTCTTCGTGCCATAGAATAGAGGAGGACATTGGACATTGATCGTGATATCTCCCACATAAGATAAGGTCATGTTGTTGGATTCGTTTGGAGAGAAAGTACGCTTGGAACTCAGAAAAATGATTGCTTTATAAGTTTAGCATTCTTTATAACATTCGAACAACTAATTCATATTATTTCTTTTACTAATTAATTGATATTTTTTCTTTTACTAATTAATTGATATGTTTTCATAATTTATTAGTGTTTTACGTGGTTGGAAGGTCCAAACAAAGTTTGAGTTTGAACACCATGGGGATGGGTTAACGAAATTTCTCATACTAAAAGTAAGTGTTCATAATTTCGTTCATTAAATTACTCGAAGTTAAGGAATACTTAAATGATATACTAAAATATTTTATTAATTTTCACAAAATTCTGACACAAGAGGGATACAAAGAAATGTTGATTCTTCGTCTTACGGTATATGCGTGATATAATGAAAATCGGTGTTAATGATCTAAAAAACATGGAGGCATATACTAATGCGCATTTGGTAGATGTTATAAATGAACGTGCGCACTTTATAAAAGGACATATGTAACTTATGAATAAATTTGATTTGAATATATGTAATATTTGTTTATGTTATATGACTTGTGTTAATTGTGTGGCTAAAATGCTGATAAAACACGAGATTAATAGGCCAACCCGTGGGAAAAGTAATAAAACAACACCAATTTTTTGATGCATATTGCAAATATAACGATGGTTTCTTAGAAAAACCGTCGTTATATGTAATCTTTAACGACACTTTTCTATGAAACCGTTGTGTAATGCCTCCAAATGCTTATCATGTGTACTTCAGGACAAATTTAGACGACGGATTCCTTAGCAACCATCGTCTAAGGTTTGATTTTAACGACGGATAAAGATAGTCGTTAAAGTCCAAAACATTTTACGACTCATGATTAGATGACGGTTTACCTAATCGTCATCTAATCTTTTAACGATGGTTTTTAACCATCGTTAAATCCCCGATTTCTACTAGTGACAACCAATTTTTGACAATTTCGGACCTTAATTGCAAAAATCACTAAAAACCACATATTTATCAAAATTGGGCACATGAGAGCTTTTGGAAAGTTTTAGATGTCTAGATAGGGCCCATCCATACTAGTGAGTTAGTTCAGTATCAGAATTGTACGAAAGAACTAGTTCAAAAGAAAGGCACCTATTGGAATGATTCCTTTCTCCATCCAGATCAAAAAAAGGATTCTCGGCTCAGCAGCCAGAACAGATAGCATGCCTATCTCCTGGAATTGTTGTTGTCCTTTTCGGATCAGGGCTGGAGCGTATGCCAGGTGACTTATAAAAAGATTGGTAACTTGCTTCTAATAGTTAGTTTTTTCATTCGGGCTTGCACTTACCACTATTTTTTCTTGGATTCTAGGGGAAGGTCAGATTTGATATTATGGTAGTTATTCAAATTCATCTCCAAAAATTTCCAGAATTTAAAAGAAACTGCCCTGTCCTGGTTAAGTACATTTGACAATATTTGCAATAACTTGAAAAGTTCATAACTTAAACTACAAAACAAAACTCCTTTTTGGGTGATTCAAGTCTCTTATTAAAGCTTAAAAAATCTATTTTCAAGTTCTAACGAAACTAACATCAAAACTTATAGAGAATAATAAAGTATTTTGCTTTACCTTGGGCTGCTCTTACGATTCTCACTAAAACCATTAATCAAACACCTAAAGGGCATAAACATGTTCTAGATACCATAACATCTATTCAAGAATTCAATCCACCAAGCATCAAACTATTCCAAGTAACCAAAGCCCATAATTTTTCTCAAATTCTCAAAGCAAGCATCAAGTCCTTGACTTTAGTCCATGTTCTTAAGAGATTTTCAAACTTATCAACAAGAACACCAAAGTGTACCACCTCATCTATATAATATAGAAACCTATAAATTGAGTAAAGGAAAACACGATTAAAATGGGAAATAACATAAAACAACTATAGATCAAGAATAGTTTTTTATTAAACCAGAAGAAGAAGTGGAAAACCCTACCTTAGAAATGAAAGTATATGAACAGCTTTTCCCTCAAAATTCCTTAGGGCTTTACAAATTGAAGTCGTTCTAAACGTTAAGTCGGTCATGTCGACTACCACCACTAGAAGTGGTGGCTCACGGCGTGGACGGTGGCGGAGCTCCAACGAGCTATTGTGCATGGCAAATTTTCATAGCAAATATGGGTGTCATCTCGTTCTACTCGTCATTGTGAACTCATAGAAATAAGAATCACTCAATTCCGATTTAAAATGAGTGAGTTATGGAGTTTTGAAGTGGGAAACCTGGTTGAAGAAGGTGTTGATGGAATTTAGGTGAAATAGGAGACTTGGGCTTTAAAATCGGATTTGGGTCCATAAAGGGAAAATTACAAGAACGCCCCCTTATGTGACTTTGTTAGAATAAGGTCTAGAGAATAAAATCTTAAATCCAAATGTTCTTTTTCCAAAACTTAACACTTCATGACAAATAAAATAAGCAAAAAATCCAACACGGGTCTTTTTGAAAAGCTTTTAAATACTTGGGGTAAAATTATAAATATTTAAAAGTTGAGGGGTTAAATTATAATTTTTGTAAATAACTTTTCAAATATCAAAAAATTTATAATGAAATAATTATAACTGAAATTAAAACACTAATGTTTAAAATTTATTAACACTAACAACCGAATTAAATTAATTAATCTCAATTAATTTTAACAGGTGTTATAACTCTACCCCTTTAAAGAAATTCTGTCCTCGGAATTAGAAATAAATTAAGTGGTAAAAATCAAAGGCCAAAATAAAGATGATAAGAATCTCGACACAAGTATTAATACAAAACGATTGATAATGCAATCAAATGCCAAAAGTAAGTAGGTCAGACATAACTCTGAACTCGAGAAAAGGAACAAATAATATGTGTACATCCAGTAGAGCATAGCATCCTAAATCAAGACTAAAATTAGTACAAATTGAAAGAGAATCGCATCTGAAAATAGAAATAAAGAACGGTATGAGAACAATGTCTAGAGTCAACATTTTACAAGGAGAAAGTGAATGACATCTTTGAAATCAGTAAGGAAATCACCAAGACAAACAATTCAAATCAGAAGCAATTTTGATCTCAAAATCAGAATGGGATCACATCGGTAAGTTAACATAAATTTAAACACGATTAACAAGCAGAAAGACTAACTCTAGGTCAAAACAGAAAAAAAAAAAAAAAAAAAAAAAAAAAAAAAAAAAAGCATAATTCGAAGTTTGGATCTTAAAACCTGTGGGATATGACCTACCGTGCTTCCAGATAAAATGTGAAAACAATAGTAAATCAGAATACGCATCTGTCCATGGTGCGATCGGTAGCAGCGTCATCACCAGTCGAGGAAAAAGAATGAAACCTCATCATCAACTGAAGAAAAGGAAGAAATCTCATCAGCACGAGAAAATCCATGAAGTCGACATTATTATATAAAATACCATCTAGAGGTAAAAGGATTAATTGGCAAAGCAGAATAAGCTATAAGGATTTACGACTAACCATCCATTAAAAGCATAACAAGATTACAAGTCTGAACTTGAATCTTAATTGAAATGAGCACTATGAAACAAGGAGTAAGGATACTTTGCCGATTCGAAATTTTTGTATTCCAAATTAACTGTTACTCTTCATCTATTTAAATCTTCACATTAAGCGCATCATGAAATGAAAAGAACCAATATCGTGAATTTAAAATAAGTGGAAGTCTATTAAACATTGTTTTAAAACCAAAAACCTCAAGAAACTTTCAAAGTAAAATCTTGATTTCAAATTTCAAAATTACAAAGTCAATAGCATAAGTAAGAGAAAATCAAATAAACATCAAATCAAAGTTCGAAAACTTCACAAGAACTCTAAAGTCAACATGCGAGAAAGGTTGTAACATGCGATCGCAACATGCTTTGACTCAATCGCAACATGCGATCACCCCAACTGCATGAGAGACCCGATGTGTAAATGATAACGTGGTACAACAGCACGTACATCCCATATGAGAAAGGTTGCTACAAAAACACCAACAGTCATGGAAATGACGACATTCCAAGGACAAAACTCTACTCCTACACTCTTATCCAAGTCACTCAGATTACTATACGAACAATTAAAATTGTGAAGAATACATACCTGGACGGGCCTCTGCCCCTATCTTTTGGAGCAGACTTCAACTCGGTTTCTTTAACTTCAACATTGTCTTCTCTTAGGTTTTCTCCGCTGGTATCTTCTAGGGCACATTCTGGGGTGACTCTTACAGTTTAATCAAAATCGTGTTTGGCTCCCTTCCTCAGAACATTCGTCGGGATCAGTCTTGAAGCCACCATTAATGAATTCTTCTCACGCTCGAAGACTCCTTCCAGAGCATTCTCCAATAAAGTTAGTTGTCTCTTGGTTTGGACTTTAGAGGCTTTCCCCGAAGCTGTCATTGACATGTCTGTAATAATTGAAGCGTTTTGGCTTACTGGGTTTCCTCAAGAAGAAAACCTTGTTTGATGCAACGTCCAAGACAATCACTCTCGGCTCGGCATGACTTTCGGGAGCTCCTTCTAGAGCAGGCTTCTATTGAGCAGCATTCTTCTTATCTATCTCTTTGGAATTCTCTCGAGTAGATTGTGAATCTGCCTCAGCATCTCGTTCTTTATGGCCGCGTACGAGAGGGACTATCAACAACATCCTTGACTCTCGCGATGTTCTCGCTATCTTCTGCTTCAGCTGCCCCTTCATAGCAACACTTTTTTCTCCACAGACTTTCTTTTCTCCAATAGAGGGCCTCCATATTTGTAGGAACCGCTTTCATCAACAAATACATTATGGAGGTCAGACTTATAAGCAAGATCGACCATTGCGTCGGAACTTAGATCTCTCATCTCTTTGGGCACAACATCTGGGCAGGTGAGTTTAACTCCCAACGGTTGGAGCAGTAATGTAACGTCCCAATTTTTGAGCTTAAACTTTTGTATTAATTTTGTACGAAGGAATTGTAAGAGAAACATAAAAGAGCTTAAGGATTAAATTGTAAGACTTTGGAGGTAAGATTGTAACAAATTTCATATTTAAAGGCCAGATTACAATTTTAGAGGAAAAAAATATAATAGCCAACTGCCCTCCCACGTGGCAATACTGGTGTTCAACTAAGCCACAAAGCCTATGCCCCTTAAGACGCGTTGAGAGAATTAGAGAGGAAGAAGAGAGAAAAAAAATTCTTTTCACTTCTTCTGAGGTCTCCACCGAGCACTCTCTTTCTCTCCCTCCCCCTCTGCGCTTTTCTCTTTCCCTTGATTCAATCTCCTTCTTCTACAAAGGGCTGCAGCAATTCTTTAAAGTGAAGAGGTGATTTGAGCTGGGATTCAAGGTAAAGGTTTATTTGAGGAAAAATCTTTGAATGGCTGAGTGTTTGGTTGGGAGTAATTGATTGAATTATGTTTTGATTCTAGCTTGAGGAGGAGAAATGTTCAACTCAGCCCAGAATTGAAGATGAATTGAATTTTGAGAAGAATTTGGTAAGTTAAGTGTATACTTTGTTTATAATTTTGAGCGGTCCCTATTTGATTAAATTCTAGGTTTTTGTGTAATTGAATCTTGGAGGATGATTTATATATTTGAGGAATAGATATTTTAGACTTTAAATGGGAACTTGAAGGAGCTTTGTAGTTTAAGTTGTGAACTTTTGAACCTAAAGGAAAAAAAAAACTGTTAAATGTACTTGTTGGGCAGAATCGGCTCTTTCAGATTCTGAGAGTTTTTGGTGATGAATTTCAATAAATGGGTTAGATCATTGGTAATTCGACATCTTATGCTTCGTATAGCCACAACAATCATCTTAAACGGACAACTATAGCTCAAATTATGCAATTTTTAAAGTTAGGCATGATTATGTAAATTTTGTAGAAAAATCAGCACATTTTGATCTGGTGTGGCATATTTTTGGAGGCCTTTATTAACCCAAAAGTAAGCTTATGATACCTCTTTGAAAATTCCTAGATGTTTACTTCAATTAGGCACTAATTATGTAATTTTTAAGGCTACATAGAATATTTTGTTAATATTCTCATAGCAATCGTCAAAGCTACCAATTCTTGAAATTGATAAAACAAAAAACTGAGGCTCCTACTTTTTGAAATAGGATTGTTACACCTAAACCACCACTACGCCACAATAGGCTTTTCGTAGCTGACGAAAAACGCTATTAATCACTATCAATAGCGCTTTTTAGAGCGCTAGGACAGCGGGCGCTATTATAAGTCCTAAGAAAACATAACGTTTCAGGAGAGTTATAAAAAACTCTATAGAATTGAAGTATTATAGCATGTAAGAAAAGTTATTTTCATCCTCTTACAGCTCTTTAGCATAGCTACGATACAGATTAATAACTTTTTTTCCTTGTTATGTTCCTACTGTTGTAACTTTTTAAAATTATTATTGATATCCTTTTGAATTCATTCAAATAAATGGTAATTCCGAGCAACATCTTATATCTAAATAGGAACATTCAAATTAAAACATAAAAACATTCAAATTAAAACATGAAAACATTCAATGTAATAATTGTTATAAATATCTACAAAGTTGCCAATAAGATGTTTACAACAAAAGCCACACCATTTGTCCACAACTTTTGAAGATTGCCAAATTATTGAACTTACATATCAACTTCGTTAAATGTTGTCAACATAGCAAATGTATTCTGAGAATCTTTCAAGCGTGTTGCAACTCGTTTCCTAAGTCTTGTCATCGGAACCTAGACACAAGAAAAAAAGAAATTGTCGAAGCAAGTCAAGCAACTTTAAACCAAACTAAAGTAACCTTGTTTTCAAACTAATAATGAAACTCACTCGTCTTTCCCTGTCCTTAGGAGGAAGCTGGGGTTCTGTGGGTTTAGGTGGTGATGGAAGCCCCTTAGCCTTGGGTGGTGGAGATGGTTCTTTCTTTGCCTCCTTGACAGGGGCAGTTTCTGCTTTAGGGGTTTGCTTTTCTACACTTTCCTGCTTTTTGGGAGGTGATGGCTGGCTAGCAGGCTGTTCCAATGGAGCAACTTGTGGTGCACCTTCACCTGATTTTGAGATGACAGCAATCTTGACGCCTGGTTCCACAGTCTCACCTTCCTTAGCCAACAACTATTTCCAATAATATAGATATTTCAGTGAATGCAGATAAGAGGAAGAATTAATATTATTAATAGTATCACTGAGAAGGGTAAAAATTAAGAATGGCTAAATTAGATTGCTATTATAAATAAGAGATGACAGATAAATAGGAGTCTACTGAGTAAACGAGAGACCGGCTCCATCATCCATTTTATCTAATAGCATAGATAGCAATTTAGTAGTAGCTTTGTGTTTCTAGTTGAAGAAAGCATGACACTGCTTGAGTATTGACTAAAGCATAGGTTTAGGGTGCATATAAGATTGTTTCTTTACGTGTTGATTCCAAGCATGGTAAACTCTGACCGTGGATACCAAATATGGCAAAAAAGTCAAAAACAAAACCCATCCATAGCTTCCTATGAGAACGGATTTCAGTTTCCAAATCATATTGGTTATGACCAATGATTACCTTGAAACCCAAAAAAAAAAAAAA